GAGGAGCACAGGCTCTGGACGTGCAGGCTCAGCAGCCATGGCTCACGGGCCCAGCCGCTCCGTGGCATGTGGGATCCTCCCGGACTGGGGCACGAACCCGCGTCCCCTGCATCGGCAGGCGGACGCTCAACCAGTGCGCCACCAGGGAAGCCTCGTGTGGTTTTTTTTTTTTCTTTTCTCTACTTGGAATTTCGTTTCCTCTTTTTGCTATGGAGAGATGTTCCTTATCCTTTGAGGCCCTGTTCCAATGCTACCGGGTCTCTGAAGGCTTTCTTTTTCTCCTTTCCCAGTGGAATTAACAGCCCCATCTTTTCTGCTCCCCAGCACTTTACTCCTATTTTATTACAGCACAGCCACTGTCTTCCTGTTAGAGTCGGGTGTCTTTCTGCCTTCCCTACCTGACCATGACATCCTTGGGCAGATGGTTTGTATCTGATTAATTCTGGGTCTTCATTAGCAGATACTGCAAGTTCTCCAAGTTACTTCTTGAATTGGGCTGAATGGTTGGCTTCCTAACTGAGGTCTTCTCCAATTCTACTTTGGGTAGGACCTGCCTGTCTGCGCAAAAGAGCTGTAGGGAATCATTTGATCCCTGGTCTCTGGCTGTGCCACTGTTGCTGCTGATAAGGAAAGTTGGGCTGTGGTCACTAAGGCTCATCTCTCACGTCTGTCCCTTAGGAGTAAGACTGCAGCTTTCACAGACACCAGGATCAGGACCATGAATGAAGTGATAACTGGCATCAGAATAATAAAAATGTATGGCTGGGAAAAGTCCTTTGCAGACCTTATTACCAGTTTGAGAAGGTAAGTGTTTGTATATATACAGCATATTTTCATAATTTATCTCATATTTACTGAATGGTTTAGAAGTCTTACCAAGTTTTCACATTAAGGTGAACTTAACTACTATCCACTCCACCCCCAACATGTGGCAGTGGGGTTAAGTAGAACAGTGGAGATGTCATTTTAACCTGCTCTTCCATTTACCATCTTCTTAAAGGAAAAAAAATATATGCTTCTTACTTATACAGAAGTTAAATTCCAAGTATTTCTGTCTTTAAAAAAAAAATTATTTATTCATTCATTCACTCATTCATTCATTTGTTTATTTTTTTTTGGCTGCATTGGGTCTTTGTTGCCACACATGGGCTTCCTCTGGTTGCAGCCAGCGGGGGCTACTCTTCGTTGTGGTGCACGGGCTTCTCATTGCTGTGGCTTCTCTTGTTGCGGTGCATGGGCTCTAGGCGAGCAGGCTTCAGGAGTTGTGGCACGTGGACTCAGCAGTTGTGACGCACGGGCTTAGGTGCTTCGCAACATGTCGGATCTTCCCCTAGCAGGGCTCGAACCCATGTTCCCTGCATTGGCAGGGGGGGGTTTTTTTTTTTTTTTTTTTTTTTTTTTTTTTTTGCGGTACGTGGGCCTCTCACTGTTGTGGCCTCTCCCATTGCGCAGCACAGTCTCCGGAAAGGCAGGCTCAGCGGCCATGGCTCACGGGCCCAGCCGCTCCGCGGCATGGGGGATCCTCCCAGACCTGGGCATGAACCCGTGTCCCCTGCATCAGCAGGCGGATGGACTCTCAACCACTGGACCACCAGGGAAGCCCCGCAGGTGGATTCTTAACCAGTGCGCCACCAGGGAAGCCCCCAAGTATTTCTTAATAGCACAGATTCCAAATAAACAATGATTTAAGATGTTGGCATCTAAAAAGATATTTAAATTAAAAGTATAATTTATGTTAATATAGCACAAATGGGGAGATTATAAAGATTGGGTACTTATATCGGGCCAAACTTATGAGTCAGTATTATTCATTCCAAACAAAGCCATAAATATATTTTTTGCTTTGCTTTATGTTTGTAGAGTTTTTTTTTCATCTTTGACTTAAATATCTGATGAGTGCTTATACTCCAGCACAGGGTACTTAGAATTCTCTGGCAGCACCGTGTCACCTCTCACTTTGCACCTTTGTAGGTGCCCCTCCCTCTGCTGGGAATACACTCATCTTACTTCTTCTCTGGCCTCCGCCAAGCCCGACTGACTCTAGCTCATCTGCTCAGGGTCCACGTGCGTGTGACTTGCCCGGACTCTAGTGCTCCGAGTTAACACGCCTCTGCTCTGCACTCCCGTGGGGGCCGTGCTGGCACCTCTGTCTAATGTCTTGGTGTCTCACAATTTTGGGGTTGTTTTCTCTATTCTTTTATGAGTTTGTCAACTCCTGGAGGGCATGGGCTGTGTCTTTCTGTCATCAGTGAGGAGCCCGGCACAGGACTTCTGGTAATGAATGAATGAATACTGAATGTTCAAACCCAGTCTGATTGACCCAAAATGTTTAAAATGTGACACTAAGCCTATATTTAGTTGGAAGAGGAAGTGGTGATGAAGTGTGCGGTTTTTGTGTCGGGCAGGCCCCCGGGTGTGCGCTGTGTAGTATCTCCATGATGTGAGGGATGGTTTGTCTTCATCTGTGTCCACTCCCTAGGAAGAGGCCACTCACATAGGGCACTTGAATTCATGTCTTGGATGTTGGTGCTTCTTTTAAAATCTATTTCCTACTCTTTTCCAGGAAGGAAATTTCCAAGATTCTGAGAAGTTCCTACCTTAGAGGAATGAATTTGGCATCGTTTTTTGTTGCAAGCAAAATCATTGTTTTTGTCACCTTCACCACATATGCGCTGCTTGGCAATGTGATCACAGCGAGCCGTGTGTTTGTGGCAGTGACACTGTATGGGGCTGTGCGGCTGACAGTCACCCTGTTCTTCCCTTCAGCCGTCGAGAAGGTGTCAGAGGCAGTCGTCAGCATCCAAAGAATCAAGGTTTGCTGACAAGTAACTTTATTAACTTGTAGGTGGATTTTACCTAAAATGCCTCCTTTTAGTGTCACTGTGTGCCAGTTAGGTGAGATCTAACTCTCTCACTGCCTAAGCTCATGGTTGTTCCAGAAAGTATTTAGTACTCCCGTCTTCTGACATAGGGTGCGTTATGAATATCTTAAGAGCCTGCTCATCTATAGGCAGTAGCATAAGTCCCGGCGGTGCAGGGCTCTTGTCGAGTAATGACTGCAAGACTAAGTTGTCTGAAAGTAGGAGAAGCAAGCAGATCTCATCTCCTGTGGTAACTCCATTGACGAGGTGACAACTGTGTTCAGCCCTGGGTTGAATAGGATTCCTCTCTGGGCCGGGAGGGAATGAACATGCTGAGAGGTCTCTGTTTCTTGGGTAGGAAGCATGGCCTCAGTCTCACTTCATTCTCTGTGTTTAAAAATGGGTTCTTGGGGCTTCCCTGGTGGCGCAGTGGTTGAGAGTCCGCCTGCCAATGCAGGGGATACGGGTTCGTGCCCCGGTCCGGGAAGATCCCACATGCTGCGGAGCGGCTGGGCCCGTGAGCCATGGCTGCTGAGCCTGCGGGTCCGGAGCCTGTGCTCCGCCACGGGAGAGGCCACAGCAGTGAGGGGCCCGCGTACCGCAAAAAAAAAAAAAAAAAAAGGAAAAAAAATATGGGTTCTTTCCTCCGTAGATGGTTTGCTTGTTGATTACTGAGTATGCCTTTTCGATCTGCCTTTTTGTCCCTGTTCTCTTTTCACTTACGTGTAAACCTATCTCTAGCTGCCCTCTTACTTTCCAACTTGTGATTCCTATCATACCCACAGTCTCTCTGTCTCTCTCTCTCTTTTATTTATTTATTTTTTTTGCGGTACACGGGCCTCTCACTGTTGTGGTCTCCCCCGTTGTGGAGCACAGGCTCCGGACGCGCAGGCTCAGCGGCCATGGCTCACGGGCCCAGCCGCTCCGCGGCATGTGGGATCCTCCCAGACCGGGGCACGAACCCGCGTCCCCTGCATCGGCAGGCAGACTCTCAACCACTGCGCCACCAGAGAAGCCCTCTCTCTCTCTCTCTCTTTTTAATCTGTCTGTAAATTGCCAGGGGTGAATAATTTACATCACCAAGATAAAGAACCTGTAGATACTTAAGGAGTTGTGTGTTTATTAATTGGTGTAAAATGAAGATAAATTGGCTTTGTGAGCCGGCCTGGGTGTGAGCTTGAGTGTCTGGGCTTTACAACACGTCTAATTTGTTTTGTTCCTACTTCTTGATTGGGATGGATGGCCAGTAATAGATCTCTTGTGAAGTTAGATAGCTTTGGCTATGATTTTTTTATTTGATCATTCAGTTGTCATAAAAGGTTATGATGAAGTTTCTATAATATAAAAAGCTATTGCCCATAAAACAGATCAGTTATACGGGGGTCAGTTCTGCTCCCCTGAATTTATCATTCTTTCTTTCTTTTCTTTTTTTTTCTTTAATTTTATGTATTTATTTATTTATTTTGGGCTGCGTTGGGTCTTCTTTGCTGCGCGTGGGCTTTCTCTAGTTGTGGAGAGCGGGGGCTGCTCTTCGTTGCAGTGCGCGGGCTGCTCATTGCAGTGGCTTCTCTTGTTGCGGAGCACGGGCTCTAGGTGCGCGGGCTTCAGTAGTTGTGGCTCATGGGCTTAGTTGCTCTGCGGCACGTGGGATCTTCCCGGACCAGGGCTCAAGCCTGTGTCCCCTGCTTTGGGCAGGCGGATTCTTAACCTCTGCGCCACCAGGGAAGCCCTAATCATTCTTTTTGATGGGGGCTTCTAGCAACACTGTTAAGGGATGGTCCATGCAGTTCAATAAAATTTCTTTTATGAAGCTTTCACATCTTGAAAGAGGACATTTAGGGATATCCTTGAACTGTAGTGACATTCTTAGTGACACAGTAAGCTGTCCAGATGGAGGCTTCACACGTGTGTTGTGCTGCTGTGGTTTTGTTATTGCTGCTGCCACAGCTGCTGTCTTCGATCGCTGTTGCCGTGGTTGCTGTGTGGTCTGGGCACTCCTGAAGCCTTTGCATGTCATCTCATTTAATCCTGATAGCAATTGAATGGGATAAGCATTAGTGTCCCCACTTTACAGATAAGGAAACAGGTTCCTATAACAGGTGAAATAGCTCACCTATCCTTACATAGCTAGGAAATGACAACTAGGATCCTGCCCAAAGCCTGTTTTTTTGTGGTACGCGGGCCTCTCACTGCTGTGGCCTCTCCCGTTGCGGAGCACAGGCTCCGGACGCGCAGGCTCAGCGGCCATGGCTCACGGGCCCAGCTGCTTCGCGGCATGTGGGATCCTCCCGGACCGGGGCACAAACCCATGTCCCCTGCATCAGCAGGCGGACTCCCAACCACTGCGCCACCAGGGAAGCCCAAGCCTGGTTTTTTAAACCATTGTTACATTGCCTTCTTAGTACCTTCTAGCATGTGGAATTTCCATTTAAATGTTGTTTTCTTCATCTGGTCTTAGTCCGAAGACCTTCAAAGTTTCCATGTCACTTGCAGAATCAAAATTTTAAATTCTCCACTCCATTGGCAGCTCTGTTTCACAGCACACGACCCTCCACTCTGGTGGGGGAGGGGGGAAGACGGGTTGTCTGTGTGACCTGTCACATTCATCCCTGGTTTTGGCTCACTTTTTTGGGCCCCCTGGGTTGCCTTCTCATCAGTCCTTGATTTAAGCAAATGCTGCTGAGCCTCCAGCAGCCCCATGTCCCTCTCCCAGCACTTTCATTCGCGCTGATCTAGGGCTTCCATTTGTGTGCAGGGCCAGCCCTGCACGGCCCAGCATCATGTCAAGTGGGGTGATCGTGTTGTGACTCCCCAGGAGTATTCTAGGCCCCTTAACGGGAGAGATGGATCGTGGGCTCCTCTCAGTTTTGGGGCTGCAAAGTCACCTGGAATACTAAGGGGAGGAGGACAGCAAGAATTTGTGTTCTTCCTTTCCCTGCTTCTCAGTTAGATGTGTTAATGCCTAATTAGAAGATGAGATCGGCAGCAAGAATGGAAGAAAACTAGGTGAGGTTTGACCATAGATGGGCTGGAGGCGTGGTGGGCACGTAGAGTTTAGAACAGAGTGTGGTTTAAGCCCTGCTGCCCCACTGCCTTCTGAAGCCTGGGACTCAGTAGACTGGATGGGCCATCTTCCAAGATTTCCACTCAGGTCATGTTTGGGGGACCTAGGAAGAAAACCCACCACCCCTGGCTACCTTGGAGGTGGTGCGATGGTCCCCTTATTTCTCTCTTAGTAATGAAAGGGGACTGAAGGTCTTGGCGTTGAGCTACTGCAATAGGATTAAAAATACCTTGTCTTAACTTAAAAGAACTAAAAGTCTTCAGTGACTTTTACATCCAGTAAAATGTGTCTCTGAGGTTATGTTGTTCACAAAGCTGCTTAGCTTTTCCCCTACCAGCCCCTGGGAAGTCAGTCTTTTTGGCTGCAGTTGTGACGTTGATACTTTCCCTCGTGATGTGTTCTGGGTCTGCACTTCATGGCTCTAATGGCAGTTTAATTTCACCTTTTTCATCAGCCTGAGTCCTGGGGAAAAATGCAGCCAGCACTTCTTGCAACTTTACAAGTTGGTCCTGTGTTGAATGGAGTCTTATTTAACCCCTGGAAGATTGTAACTTCTTTGCCTTAGCAGACCTATTATTTGTAGACAAGTGCTCAATAGGTTTAATTCCTCATTTAAGGCATACTTTTTCTTTTTCTTTTGAAAGTGGGGAATTTCTATTCTACCATACATACACTGAATATTGAGGTTTTTTATCTTGGTAACACGCTTAAGGTAAAATTGGAATTTCTGTTTAGACAAGATGTATAACATACACGTATAACCTTTTGCTTGTTGCTCTGTTAGCTCAGACTATGTAAGGCTGTAGCCACGCAGTCACCGGTTGGAGTGATTTGAACAGCCATGTAATCTGTTCCTTCCCTTAGCCTGATACCCATGATGGGCCAACTCTGTGCAAGGCTTGGTCTCAGATGGAGTTGGGACTGTGTAAGTGCAGGAATCACCCAGTGTCTCCCCTCTTTATGACTTTATATCCCTATGAGGATTCAGAGGTAGGGAGGTCAGTGCCAGCCTGGATCCTCCTGAGCTGGTTCCCAGGAGGATTAGCGTTTGAGATGGCCCAGAAGGATGGGTGGCATCAGTACTCAGGGTGTCCAGGTAGAGGCCACTTGGGGATGTGGACATAGGTGCTGATGGGTCACTGGAGGGGTTGAAGTGTGCTGGACACTCTCAGAGGTGTTGTAAGGAGATCAGGAGGGAGTGGTGTTGTGGGAGGGTCGGTGGTGCTGGGGAGGGCTGGGGAAGGAACCAGCAAAAGAAAAGGCATATCAGTATTTGAGATGGTTCATAGCGAGTGAGATTCTGAAATTATGTTGTTTCAAGAGGGAAGGAGAATTGGGAGAGGGATGGACTGTGGCAGAACAGGCGAGAGCTGGTACCTGGCTGACGAGGGGAGAGGTGGTGTGGAGAGAGAACTCAGGCTGCAGTGGTTGAAAGCCTGCAGAGGAGTCCTCAGACCACTGTCCATCCTGCCTCCTGCTGGACACAGGCTCGGGGCGGGTAGGAGCTGCCGTGCCCAGTGTTCAGGTTCTCAGTGAGCCTGGATGAAAGGAGGTGGGAACGAGAGGATAGCGTCTCCTGCCAGCTTGTCTTTGAGAGAAATGCAAGGATCTCGTCTTCCTTTTCCTGCACAGAAGCAGGTTTTCATGTTCAGGTTTTTTTGGTTTTTTTTTTAATAAATTTATTTATATATTTATTTAGTTTTGGCTGCCGTGGGTCTTTGTTGCTGCGCGAGGGCTTTCTCGAGTTGCAGTGAGCAGGGGCTGCTCTTCGTTGCGGTGCGCGGGCTTCTCATTGCGGTGTCGTCTCATGTTGCGGAGCATGCATGGGCTCTAGGCACGGGGGCTTCAGTAGTTGTGGCACATGGGTTCAGTAGTTGTGGCACACGGGCTCTTGAGCGCAGGCTCAGAAGTTGTGACGCATGGGCTTAGTTGCTCCGCGGCATGTGGGATCTTCCCGGACCAGGGCTCGAACCCGCGTCCCTTGCATTGGCAGGCAGATTCTTAACCACTGCAGCACCAGGTAAGTCCTCATGCTCAGTTTTTACCAGCTGTTTTGAAGTAGAAGGTTGCAGTCCTATTTGTAGCTTTGGGGCATGGTAGACAAGGATGTCAAGGACTTGAAGGGTGTTGATGATGTTTATGGTAGTAGGTTACTATTCACCTGTTGTTTTCTTTCTCAAACATGTTCACATGGTTGTTTCAGTTCCCCCTGTTTTGTTGGGATTTGCTTATGCCTGTGGGTTCTACAATTACCAATGTTAAAGCTGCTTACACAGATAGTTTGTATTTCTCTCATGCAAGCATCCTTGTAAGGCTGTGTATGGGTTTCCTGGGCCTCCTTAACAAAGTACCACAAATCCGGTGGCCTAAAGCCACAGAAATTTGTTTTTTCTCAGTCTTGGAGGCTTGAAGTCTGAAATCAAGGTGTCAGCAGGGTCACGATTCCTCTGAATTCTATAAGGGGGAATCCTTTCTTGTCTCTTCTAGCTATTGGTGGATGGAGACAAACCTTGGTGTACCTTGGCTCCTAACAGCCATCACTCCAGCCTCCGTGTCCATCGTCACATGGCTGTTTTCTGCTTGTGTGTGTCTCTGCGTCTCTCTTCTGATAAGGACACCAATCATATTGCATTGAGGGCCCACCCTAGTCCAGTGTGATCTCACCTGAATTGATTACATCTGCAACAACCCTATTTCCAAATAAAGTCACATTTTGAGGTATTTGCGGTTAGGACCTTAACATTTATTTATTTATTTTTCGTTGGGGTGAGCAATTCTCCCTGTAACAAGTTCCATGGCTAGTATGATCCTCCAGGGTGTTAGGGACCCAGACTCCTTCTCTCTTGTTACTCCTCTGCATGTGGCCTTGACCCAGCTGGTAACCTCCAAGACCCAGGCCATGGGGTGGATGAAGGTCCCGTACGTTGTCACTTTCCACCGGCCTGGATGTAGTCACATGGCTACACCTATCTGCTCGGGAGTCTGGAGAGAGAGGGCCTCCTTCCAGGCTGCCAGGTGCCAGCTGAAATCTGGGGTTTGTTTCTTGTTGAATTATGCCTAGCATTTGCAGGGCAAGAGGGAGTTTTCCTATATATGATTATGTTAGTTCAGTAGTGGTTCGCAGGACTTGGTTTTATTCAACTGAATTGCATTGAATAGCTGCTAAGGGGTGTGAAAATAGCAAGCAGTGGAAGATGTGCCATTCCTGCC